GCCCAAATGTGGCGTATTTACCAAAGGTCATCCCTGCAGCTTACAGCTCAATGGCCTTCGAGCTCTTGAGCTTTTGCCCCCCTCCTTTTGAATCCAAGGAGCAGAGGAGGTTGCATTCATTGTGTCCTCTGTGTGCTCTACGCACCTATATTGACCGCACTCAGAGTGTGCGTTCATGTGACCATTTATTTGTCTGTTTTGCTAAACCAGCCAGGGGTAAAGCCCTGTCCAAAAGCGACTTTCTCACTGGATTGTGGAAGCGATTTCCCTGGCCTACGGCAGCAGAAGCCTCCCTTTGCCCCACGGTGTGAGGGCACATTCTACCAGGAGCATGGCAACATCATGGGCCCTATTTAAAGGCGTGCCCATAAGTGATGTTTGTGCTGCAGCTAGCTGGTCATCTCCGCACACTGCTGTGCGGTTTTATTGTTTGGATGTGACAGCCCCTTCGGTGGCTCAGTCTGTCCTTTCTGCTGGGTCTACCATGCACTAGAGTGCTGCAGGCTAGACTCTGGTTCGGTAGCTGCTCAGCAGGGTGTGTATAAATGTCCCATACTATATGTGTTGTACTGAGTGAATCGACTGAAAGGGAACAAAATGTTATGTCTATAACTTCTGCTCCCTGAAGGAGAGAAACGAGGTACAACACTTGGTTGCTCCGCAGCACAGCTGGGCTCGGTGAAGAGCGGCTATCGAACTGAGGGATGACTGTGATGACAGGTATTTATATGTGTAGGCAGGGCCTCACATATGTCATCACAGATCATCTGCTGTAAAGGCGTGAACAGAGGTGTCTTCAGTAAGGTCACGCGGGGCGTGACATCCCATACTATATGTGTTGAACCTCGTTCCTCTCCTTCAGGGAACAGAAGTTATAGACATAGCATTTCGTTTTTAAATACTCTGTCATTTTCACCCCCACCCTCCCATGATGCAAAGAGACAAAAATGTCTTATTTCAGTGAGCATTTGTTACAGCCTTTTGCAGAAGACTTTGTTTGTTATAGAACAGATGTTCAGCTGGGAATGGAAAATCAAAGGTTCCTGTTTTTCCTTGCACACATGCAAATGATAGTTGTAGCCAAGTTAAACATTTTATCTGTTGATACTGAAGGCCTGAGTGCTTTGGTGTTGTGCAGCTGTGCTGAAAGTCACAGCCCAGAACTAAGCATTGGAAAAGAGCAGCTATTTTGTGTTTGTATTGTGCAGGTTTAATGTGTTGACATGGTACAGTAATGTGTATAAATGGTGATTTGTCTTTAGGTGTTTTCTTGTACTCATGTATTCTATAACATTTCTTGTATTTTGTAAAATTGAGCAGCTGTTTACAAAGCACTTTCCCTGCAGGGATTATTTGTGATCATGACTCTGGTATTGTTTTTCCTATTGTCCCTGAAGATGCTCAGTATTTTGAACATACTGAATACTACTTTGTGAAAATGCAAAAAAAAAAAAAAGAAGAAGAAGAAGGTAAAGGATACTTCTGTTTCCTGCAGTCATTTTCTTTAACTTTTGTTTTTTTGTTTGTTTGTTTATTTTTCTTATTTTTAATAATGACTGAAGACAGTAGTCGACCATCTTATTCTACTGGAACTGACTGTGTGTAACAGAAATGAATAAATCAAAACAAAGCATGTGA